GAAATTGAAAGGGAAGAAATCCTTCCTAAGTCATTCCTGGAAGCAAATATTACTCTAGTACCAAAACCTGAAAAAGACCCAACTGAAAAAGAGATCTACAGACCAATCTCCCTAATGAACACAGATGCAAAGATCCTCAATAAAATATTGGCAAATAGAATGCAGCAAGTCATCAAGAAGATTATACACCATAACCAAGTGGGATTCATTCCAGATAGGCAGGGATGGTTCAATACATGTAAATCAATAAATGTAATCCACCATATCAGTAGAGTGAAAAGTAAGAATCACATGATCATTTCTATAGATGCAGAAAAAGCTTTTGATAAGATCCAATATTCATTTATGATAAGAACCTTACAGAAAATTGGAATAGATGGTCTTTACCTCAACATAATAAAGGCCATCTATGACAAACCAACAGCCAGTATCATACTAAATGGCCAAAAATTGAAAGCCTTTACTTTAAAATCAGGCACAAGACAAGGATGTCCCCTGTCACCGCTCCTATTTAATATAGTACTGGAAATACTAGCCAGAGCAATTAGACATGAAAGAAAAATAAAAGGTGTAAAGATAGGAAAAGAAGTGAAATTATCACTATTTGCAGATGATATGATACTCTACATAGAAGACCCCCAAAACTCCATTGAAAAACTCCAAGATATAATAAATAAATTCAGCAATGTGGCTGGATACAAAATCAATACTCAAAAATCAATAGCATTCTTATATACTAACAACAAAATCACAGAGAGAGAAATAAGAGAAGCCACACCCTTCACACTAGCAACCAAGAAAATGAAATATTTACGAATTACTCTCACGAAAGAAGTGAAAGACCTATACAGGGAAAATTATAATACATTGAAAAATGAAATTGAAGATGATCTCAGGAAATGGAAAGACATCCCTTGCTCATGGATAGGAAGAATAAATATTGTGAAAATGGCCATCCTCCCAAAACTGGTATACAGATTCAATGCAATTCTGATAAAAATACCATCAACATACCTCATAGATCTCGAGAAATCAATCCTAAAATTCATCTGGAATCAGAAGAGACCTAGAACAGCAAGGACAGTTCTAAGCAGCAAAGGCAAGGCAGGAGGCATCACAATCCCTGACTTGAAGTTATACTACAAAGCAACTGTAGTAAAATCAACATGTTACTGGACTTAAAACAGAGCTGAAGACCAATGGAATAGATTAGAAGATACAACCACAACTACAAGCACACTCAACCACCTTATCTTTGATAAAGGGGTCATACATGTTCACTGGAAGAATGACAGTCTCTTTAATAAATGGTGTTGGAAAAACTGGCTGTCCATATGCTGAAAACTAAAACCCATGCCTGTCACCATATACTAGAATAAAATCTAAATGGATCAAAGATCTAAATATTAAAACAGAAACAATAAATCTATTGGAAGACAAATTTGGTAAAAACCTTGAAGACATACGGGTAGGTAGAGAATTCATGAACAAGACTCAAACCCCACGGGAAATACTTCCCAGAGTCAATAACTGGGATTACATCTTATTAAAAAGTTTCTGTACATCGAAAGAAATCTCTAACATAGCGAAAAGAAAACCCACAAACTTGGAAAAAATCCTAGTGAACTGTCCCTCAGACAAAGGACTTCTGTCTAAAACATACAAAAGAATTTTAAAAAACCAGACCCACAAAATTCAAAGACCCCATCCAAAAATGGGCATCGGAGATGAATAAACAATTTTCAGATGAAGAAATACAAACGGCAAATAAATATATGAAAAAATGTTCAGCATCACTAGTCATTAGAGAAGTGCAAATTAAAACCACACTGAGATTTCATCTCACTCCTGAAAGAATGGCCAAGATCAAGAAAACCACGAACAACAAATGCTGGACAGGCTGTGCGGAAAAAGGAACTCTTTTGCACTGTTTGTGGGAGTGTAGACTGATGCAACCATTGTGGAGGTCAGTCTGGAGATTTCTCAGAAAGCTGGGACTGGAAGCACCATTTGACCCAGCTATTCCACTTCTAGGCATACTCCCAGAAGAACTGAAAGCATCATACCACAGTGATATATGTGCACCCATGTTTATAGCAGCACAATTTGTAATAGCCAGATCTTGGAAACAACCTAAGTGTCCATCAACTGAGGAATGGATAAAAAAGTTGTGGTATTTTTATACAATGGAATACTACTCAGCTATAAAGAATGATCACATTGAGACATTTATAAATAAATGGACGCAATCGAGACCGTACTCATAAGTGAAATAAATCAAACTCACTTGTATAAATACCGAATAGTTTCCCTAGTGTAAGAAATGATAAGAATACATGAAAGTACGTGGTAATCATGATTCCCAGTCACACTGGTTTCAAGCCATATAATGTTTTCACTCATTACTTGGAATGGTTTTAATTTGGGTGGTTTTATTTTATTGTCTGTGATACTACAAATAACTATTTTGAAGAGAATAAGAGTGTAGTAGCTAGCGCTGATTTAACATCATCCTGTTTTGAAGCCCCATCAAGTTGTTGTTCATTTGTTTCCATTGGTTCTAACATGGAGTACGTTATTATATCTTAATGTATGTGATAGTGTAAGCAAGTTTTTTATAGACAAAGAGATAATATAGAAATTGATGTTTTGTTTCTGCTAGATGGTTCTAAATACCCTGCAATAATCTCTTTCTCTTGAACGGTCTCACACTGTCTTGATAAATTGATGGTATAGTATAGGAAGTTAGACTCAAATATTTCAAGGAAAGTGTCACTATGGTAACTACTATTAGTGTCAAGCTATCTGGGGGTGAAACACAATGATGGTTAAATTTTTCGATTCTGACCAGTGTTGTTATATTGATATTTTCTTTTTTTTAATCTCAGTCTCCCCCCCCTTTTTCTTTCCTTTTTTTAAAAAAAATTAATTTATTTCTTAGTATCTTTTAACTAAGGGAAAACTAAATTAAAAATAGTGCGATAGATTATAGTAATTATTTTGTTTCCCTATTAACCTGATTTGAACCCCTGTAGTGTTCTCCATATCTTGTTCTGACTGATTTTATTATATTCTGTTTCACTTAATAGTATCAAGTTTGAGGTATAGGCAACCATTTGGAAGGCAACCACATATTCTATGATGCCCGTTATTATTTGACTATTATCTTCTTTGGAATCTTGTAAGCTCTCCAATGTGGTTTTATTGGTCTTATGTACAGTTTTGTTCAGTTCTGTTATACTAGCTGATATAGGCTACTCTTTTTAGGATAACAAGAGGCCTAATGGTAACCATTGTTGATCACCTAGTAATCCTCCCCCCCTTTTTTCATTTTATGCTATGTCCATCCTCCTGATCTAAATGACTCTGTTTTTCTTTGTCACATTGGGTTTTTCTTTGGTCCATTTTGTTTTGTTTTTTGGTTTTTGGCCTTTTTAAAAATCTTTTTTCTTTTCCTCTTCAAAGAAAAAGTTAAAAAAACTGTGGAAGTAATGGAAACTAAAATGTGTGATTGTTAGTGTAAAAAAAAAGAGGAAGGAAAGTGATCTATAGGATATAACTGCAAGTTTATTTGGTTGTGTGGGATAGAGAATCATATTCCTGAGTTTTTCTTGGATCATTGAACAGAACTGACTGCAATCTCACTGTATTAATCTCCACTTTGTATGCTTTAATTTTGTAATCTGGACGACTGTTGTGTGGGATGACAATGTGTGATCTATTGACTGGTGAACTCTTATTGTATGTTTTTTCTCTTGAAATTCTGTGTTGCTTCTAGCCTTTTATTGTCTTGCTCCATTTAGTTTTGTTTTTCTCTTTAAATAAAAAAAAAAGAAGGATAAAATCAGTTTGAACAATGAATAATGGTATTCCTGGATTGCACATCATGACACTCTGGGATCAGCACTTCAAAGAAGATATTTGAGTGTATAATGAGCTTTTTCAATGATATCTGGGCCAGTGGGATTGTAAGGGATACAAGTTACATGACAAATTTGCCATGTGGAACAAAGGGAAGCAAAAGCCTGTGAGGTATAGGCTGGGCCATTGTCAGTTTTAAGGAAGGAAGATACACCCATGACTGCAAATGCAGCCAGGAGATGTTGAATTACAGGTTGGGCAGATTCACAATGCAGTGGTGAAGCACAAATGAAAACAGAAAATATCAACAGAAACATGAAGAAATGAAAAAGTTTTAAGGAGGAATACTGTGTGGCATGTTTACCAAAGGTCATTGAAAGAGAATCCACAAGAGTTGACAGTTTCACAGGGAAATGGGTGAGGCATGGCAGGAAAATGGAAACCAATGGAAATAAAAGCTTTACCTACAGAACGTGGAATGTGAAACAGTTTATGCAAGGAACAAGCAAATTTGTGAATAAAGGCATGGCTTTCTTTAGTGTTATCAAAAAGAGCATAGAATACAAAGTGAGCCCAAGGCAAGCCTGAACTGCATAGAGTGACCGTTCCTCAAAAAAATCCCTACCACCCAAAAGAGGGTAGAGAATATGCAGTGCTTTATCAGAAATAGCATTATCTTGTAAAAAGCCAGGGAGGGGTTAGTGACTACATATATGTAAAGAAAAAGAGGGACATGGTTAGGGCAAAGAAGAGCCTGTAGATGTAAAAAAGAGAAACAAAGTGTGAATCTATTTCCATAGGAGAGATAACGATAGAAGATAAGTCCAGGATAAGATAATGTATACATAGTCATTAACTAAGTTAAGGGCATGGGATAAAAACCTTGCAAAACAAGGATAATAGGAGACAGTTCACTACATTGACAGGAGGTTTGTGGTAAAGAATACAGGTGTTTCCAAGTATTATGAACAAAATATGTTACAGCTTCATGATGAGTGGGTCCATCAGTAAAGACAGTGAGTGCACTTTTTAAAGTGGTAGAAACCAATCGAGTTTTAAGATAAAGGGGAAGTAAGGTAGAGACAAACAAGGATCATGGGGCATATGGACAGAAATGGAACCAATGTAGTCAGCCAAAGTGAATTGCAGAGGCTTTGCTTTTCTATTTTTTATTTTTTGGTAACAGGTATTGAACTCACAACTGCACACTTGCAAGGCAGGCACTTATGCCACTGAGCTAAATCCCCAGCACTGGGTCTTGCAGAGGGAACAGCAGAGGGCAGCAAAAAGGAAAAGTCAGCCTTGGTGAGTGGTAAGACAGTATTGATTAAATCAATTCCAAGGAATATAGATGTTCCAGTACATCTCAAGTGATGAGAGGGATTAGCATTGACAATGGCAGATAAACTATCACCAGGTGAGTGGAATAAAACAGAAACATCAGCTCCAGTGTGTAGCAAACCTGAAAAGGAAAGGTTGTCAATAGTTAAAGGGAGGTTTTGGCATTCATCTCCCAGGGGAATAGCAGTAAACACCACAGTGAAGCCAAATCCTTGATTTCCACCAATAACATGACAACTTTAGTGGAGAAATAAGGCAAGAGAATTATTTGGTCTACAGATTCAGAAATATTTAGTTGATGGGTAAGAGAGATCACAGTTGAATCAATATGCCAGTATTATCAGCATCAATGACACCAGGAATCACAAAAGTGCCTGTTTTTGATGCACGTGAACAAGAAAGAACCAGGCCAGCTGTCCCAGGAGGTAAAGGATCATGAAAAGTAGTAGGGACCTTATAAAACTTACCAGGGATTTCCAAGGTAGTGTCAGGTTTCATAGAGACATCTTTTAAAGCATTTTTGTAGTCTTGGTTTGCATTTTTGTATGTTAATTGCTTTAACAAATAGAGGCTGCTGCTGTGTTGTCCACCTGGCATTTGCTAGCTGAATTCATCTTTCTATAAAGGTATGACAAGGTTCAGTGGCCTCCTGTTTAATAGTACCAAAGGAAACGTGTGAGCCCACTGCTACAGGGATTCTTTTTTAAGCTTTTAAAGCAATTTAAGCCATTTGAGGGTAATAGCCTGAGGGTGGCAATGAATTTGTTGGCAAATTTCTGAAAAAGCTCTCTCCCCATAATTCAGTAGCTCCTATAGCAATATTGCAATCTAACTTATTTATGGCTTGCTTGTCCACAGCATCAGTATATTCTTACAACCACACTTGATGTTGGGTTTGAGTGACAATAGTATGCACTAAGGTTTTCCAGTCCAAAGGGATCACTTCATAATCATGACTAATAACCCTCAATAATGCCAATTACAAAAGTACTTTTAATTCCATATTCCCTGACTGCCTTTTTAATACTCTTTATCTTTTTTGTTTTTCTCTTTTGGTAAAGGGGACTTAATTTATAATCTTGCAGTTGCCAAGCAGGTGCTTATGCCACTAAGCTTAATCCCCAGCCCCTTTTAACTCTTTAAACAGTTACTGAAAACTTTCAAAGTGTGGCTCTTGTCACTGATGCAAAACAGGACAAGCAGTTAATTCCCCATGTTGTTTAACTTCTTGAGCCACCTTTTGCATGGGAGTTAGAACAGGTAAGGAGTTGCCCAGAGGTTTTTCAGGGTTTGCATCTTGTGGAGGCAGTGGCAAAAGGAGGTGGAGAAGCACCTGGGTGCACCCATGAAAACTGGGAATTCAACCATGGTATGTTCCATGTGCCTGCCAGCCAAATGTCACATCTCAGCAAAGATACCAGGTGTGCAAGACAGAGATCAGAGCTTGAGGCTCCTCAATGCAGTTTACCTATTTTTCCCCAATATCTCACAGTGGCCACACCTACCTCAAGGACAATGATCATGAATTTGCCACAAGAGCTGCACCAAAATAACTTTGGAAGTAACAGGACTCACCTTACTAAAGAAAAGCAGTTCTGTGTTATGTTTCTGTTGCATTTCAGATATAGCATTCACCATGACTTCACAGGTGAAGGGATTTTTTTTAAGGAAATGAAGGGATTTTCCTACCAAAATAAAATAGACATGCTTTCGGGGCCATTTTCCAGCCTAGGAACACACCAAAGTACGTCCCCATCCACAGCAGCAATCTCCACTGTAGAGTCCCTGTTCAGGCATCAGCTGTTCAGGTCCATGCCTAGATCCCCAACCCCTCAAACAGGTGCATAGTGAAGGCCCAAAAGAATGAAACAAGTGACACAATCTTTGGGGCTGCAGGAGGATTAAATCCTTGGCAGAGCTCATAACTCTGCTAGCCAGCTGGCTGACTGATGCTGGGCAGCCCATATTTAATCACAACAAGCAAAGAGCTTAGGGGACAATGGAGGAAATCTGAGCAGGATCTTGAGAGGGTTTCAAGGACCCCTCAGAGCAACAGATGATGCTAATTAAGGAAAACTATCCAGAAAGTCTCCAGGTGGCCTCAGCTATGACCTATCATGCCCACTGAGTGTGCCTTTATTCTCAGATTAAATGTGCTCAGGCTATGCCAGAGCCCTCTACATGTACTCAGCTTCAGTGGCTCCAACAAGTTTCCAAATAACTGCATGAATCACAAGTGCACATCACTCAGGTCTCATTCAAACACTGCCACTTTCTCTGATTCCTAGATATAGCCTTTGTATTTTACTGAATACTGATAGACATTTGCCCTATCTCATCACATTCATGCTTAGTCACCATGCTCAACAGAAGAGAATATGTCAGTCTGTGCCATGAGATGCTGAGGCCAGAGTAAAACTTTGTTTTTGATCAGTACTGTTTCTCATCATGTACAATATTTTCATACCAAAAGAGTATGAAACTCACAGTGGTGATAATAATGAAAAATTAAAAGTGCAAGATATTGTAAGAAAATGAGAAAAGGTAGCGTGAAATTCATTAGCTCAATTGAAGAGATGATGTTTTACCTAGAGTTGTTTGAATAACACAAAGGGGTTACCCACACAACTTTAAACTAGCATTGATGGCAGAAACAGTACTTTGGAGCAAAGACACATGGGTCTGCTGAGCATAGAGACAGGGCATTCCACACACTGGCTAAATGTGAACCCAAAAGAAGGATTGAGCCTTTGAGAAACTTATCCCTCTTGTACTTGTAGAAGTCTAGTAAAATGTTGCAGAACCACCTAGGTTCAAGGCAAATTTTCGATGGAATAAGGGCAGCCTATAGCTGAATTTTCATGAGTTTGGATAGATCTATACTGCTATCATAATTATTTTTGGGAACTCAGGTTGTACATTCTACATTTTTCTTCACATCAGCAAAATCAGTAAAAGACCCGAGAGACTTGCAAATTATTTGTCAGTATAAAATTACTGCCTCTGGGAGTGCATCCTTTAGTGATAATTTAGGTACACAGAGGCCAGACAGCATACACTGCAAAGGCTCATGTTCAGGTGACTGGCAGCACCATGCAGGTTCCTAACACACCTACTTCTTGCCCATGCAACACACAATGTAATGGCTCGATAGTGGTGGAGAATCTATCAACAGTCTTCAAAACCAAGCTATGTATATAGTTGGGGTTCTTTCCACAAGAAAAGTGACATATAACATTAGGTAACTAAAGAACTTTCTCATGTCTCAAAAATGTCAAATCTTATTCTTTCCCATCTCTTATAGTCAGGGTTTTTCAAGGAAAGAGACTTAATATGGAACTTATAATTGATAAGATAATTTTAAAATATTCACCCAAGAAAGTCAGATTTAGAGAGATGTAAAGCTTTTCCCATACTAGAGACCTAAAAAATCCAGATGAGTGCTTGAATGCTATGACAATATCCAGCACAAGTACAGCTGAAGAATTAGAGCCCACAGCAAGGACCATCAAAAGTTTACCTGGTAAGACCTAAAGGCACTTACAGTGTCTCATTCAAGTCTCTGTTAAGGTTGTACACTAGAAAGGCTCAAAGTTCAGTGTTGGAAGCTAAAAACTCTGTTCCCTTGGTCATAGGATCTGTGCCACCAGGTTAAGTGATCAGTACTGGAGCCAAGATATGAAGCTCAAGATAAGGGCCAGAGATGCACAAAAGGGAACAGTCACCATGCACAGCAATAATGAGGACCTGAGCTCCTCTGAGGATGATGATGATGGTTGAGTTCATATCTGGAAATCCAGTGCTACCAGCTTCTCCGTGAGAATCTACAGCCAAGCTCCTTTGCCTCCAGTTCTCCTTTGATGCTGTTTTAAACAATGCTTCAATGGGTGTTCTGCCCCAAAACCATGATGACTTCATTCACTGGGGGATCCAAGTTGACCATTACTAGGCGGGCCACAGCATCAAAGTAGTTCTTAAATATTTAAAATCCAAACAGACTTTATATCACTTCATGTATTAAAGTAGTCATCTGGTCTGCCTCACATAAACAACAGTGAGAAAACCTGAGGCTCATTCTAATGAAATAATCAGTAACATAAAACTTCACAAAGTAGTCGTCACATCTGCTTTGACAAACCTCTCACAGGAACCATGTGACATGTTTCTATCTGTGTGTCCTACACACTACATAACTGTGGGCATTTGAATGAAACTATAGACAGGGCTATTGACCCTCTGATTATCCCAGGAAATTTTAAAAATCTTTTCTAAGGAAAATAGAAAAAGAAACAGTTATGTATACCTATGTTTCACTGCAGTACACTGACAGCCCTGAACACAGGAGAGAATGTCATGAGGCTGGTGGCATGCACATCACTGCCTCAACAAGCTGAGGTTTCTACAGATGCTGGAGGTAAAAAGTGGAAATACTTTAACAACAAAAACAGTTGAAATAAAATATACTGAATATGCACTTAATATACCAAAACTAAACGAGGCCTGGTGGCTCTTGCGTGGAGCCCAGTACTTGAGACACTGAGGAAGGAGAATTGTTTGAGACCACTCTGGGTTATAAAGTGATCTCAAAGCCAGCCTGAATGGCATAACTAGATGCTGCCTCAAAAAGATAAATATATCAAATCTAATGAACATAATAGTATACTAATGATAGCCTTGTGACATCAGCATGACTATCATGCTTATACTGACCTGTAGTCTACTAGGAAAACGTAACTTACAGCCCATTTCACAATAAAATATCACACCATTTACCAAATGGAGTACACTGGTGAGTATTTATTGTTCGTCATTGATATTTGGTGGTGATGGAGCAGTGCTTGCTGCTGCTCTCCACAGAAAAAGTGACTATTGCTGCAGTAAACAGGAATCTGCATGAATCACTGCAATATGTCTTTAACTCTTTGGGGAAGGCACACACAAAAGGAAGCACTGCACTGATGAGAATCACTAATTTAGTCTTTGGAATACTTTAAAAACTGACTTTAGTAGTAGTTGAACTACTTACCTACATTTCCACAAACTAGGTTAAATATTTCCTTTTCTCCTGCAGTCTCATGAATGTTCCATAGATCTTGTGGTGATTTGTTCTCTCTGCAAACATTCCTATTGGTTTTTTGTGTTAGCTGTCAGGGAGTAAGGGGCAAAATTTCTGTCATTCTGTAGTTTATATCTTCATCCTTTTGGTTTGACTTTTTTGTGGCTTCTATGTTTACACAGGAGGATTAAAATCTTACAAAATGCTTTTGGCTTGTTTTGTCACCCTATCATGTTTTCTATACAAAACACCAGCAATAGCATTAAGTAAAAAAGTTTTTTAAAAATTTTCTACATTCAGAACATGGAATGCCTGGCTCTTTCATGTTTCATTATGTTTTACTCTAATAGAAGCATATTTGAAAGTGCTGCACAAATTACCATAAAAAGTACATTTCCTGAGTGAAAGAAAAATAACAATTTGGAGGAGACCAGAGAACATGGCGGACAGACAACAGCAACTACCAGAGGCTCTCTGAAAGGTTCGGCTCAGAGGCCAGAAATAATGCGGACTAGGGAGACACGAATCAGTAGAGATATGCTCTGCTGACTCAGGAACGAACTGGGCTGAGAGAATCCAACTTGGAATACAGTCCTGGCGCTAAAATAGGAACAGAAAAATCTCGGTGTGGAGGCTCGACTCCGCGCCATCGGAAACCGGTTTGGATTTCCCGCCGTGCGGCGGCCGGCTATCTCCACAGCGGCTCAGCAAGGAGAGACGCGCCGAGCTCTGGGAGCGCCGAGCTCTGGGAACGGGAGAACGGAGTCGAAAAAAAAAGGACGGACAGAGGTGTACACGAAAACTGACTGGTGGCGAGGTGAGTGAGAATCTGACCCCCCACCACAGTTTGACTCTAGCGGAGATCTCTCTGGGCGCCATTCCCCTCTCGGACGGGATTGGAGAAAAGTGCCTGGCCTGAGTGACGCTGCTGGCGGACTCTCTAGGCTAGACTAGCCTAACCCAGATCCCAGAGCCGGACGATGGCCCGGAGGAGCGACTGACTTCCGCGTAGGCTGCCTCCTCCGACTCCCTGGTGCGCAGCGGTGGGCGGGAACAACTAGCCAGCGCAATTTGATCAGGCTGTGGCTGACAGGCAGGGAAGCCGGGCCTCCTTTGTAAGATTGCATTTTATAAGGAACAAAAAATATGGGGAAGGGAAGCAACAAAAAAAGCTCCTCGGCCCCCAATCCTGAGAAACAGGCAATAATGGACGCCGCACCAGTATACATTAAGCACCATATTGAGAGCCTCATAGACCAATTCAGGAATGAAGTTATCAATGATCTGAAGCTAGAAGTATGCAGAATAGTTAGAGAAATGCTAAACACCACCCAGGAAAAAACAGATGGTGGAATGGAAGAACAGAAAAAGAGGGGAGAATTGCTTGATGGAGAAAACAGAGAAAGCATTGAGTATGTGAAGCAGGTTCAAAGGGACTATCAAGAAATTAATAAGTCTATACAAGACTGGCATAACAGCTTGAAAGAAACTAAGGACAGACTATCTGAACTGGAGGGCAGACTTGAAATATGGGAGAATGAAATGAAAAACTTCTTAAAAATAACAAAGAAACAAACAGCAATAATACAAAGACAAGAAGATGATAAGAGGAGCCACCACTTAAGGATTAAGAACATAGAAGAAGAAGTAGGGACACAAACAAGTGAATTACAAAAGCTACTCACAGAAATAATCCAGGAGAATTTTCCTAATTTAGCAAAAGGTAAAGATACTCAGCTGTATGAGGCATACAGGACCCCAGCTACCTACAACCCTAACAGAGAAACACCCAGGCATATAATAATAAAAATCCCAGAAATTCAATACAAGAACAGAATATTAAAAGCTGTAAGAGACAAGAAACAGATCACTTACAAAGGAACACCCATCAGAATTACAGCAGATTTCTCTTCACAAACCATCAAATCACGAAGAGCATGGGGGGAAATAATTCAAGCTTTGAAAGATAATAATCTCCAGCCAAGATTGAGATATCCTGCACAACTGTCCCTGGAAATTGATGGAAAAACGAGGTGCTTCCAGGATAAAGAGGAACTGGGGGAATTTGCAACCACCAATTCAACTCTACAGAAAGTATTGCAGGATATTCTAAAAAAAGAAAAATACAAAGAACCCAGAAATAGTGGCAGGGAGGCCACAACGAATGGAGCAGAGAACAAAATGAAGAAGACAAACTGACAGCTACTGACAGAAAAAGAGCTCAACAGAAATGAGACAGAGAAGATTGGATGATAGGAACAGCTATTTTTGAGAAAATGACATCTTAATAGGTAATGCTGATTCAGTACCATCTTGTTTTGAAGTCTCATCTAGCTTTTGTTCTTCTGTCTCCAATGGTCTAACCAGGTTGTATCTTATTGGATTTTGTTATGTACGTTAGTATAAGCAAAAACCTTTTAAAGACAAGGAGATTATACAGAGACCATTGTTCATTTTCTGTTAGTCAATTCCAAATACTCTATAATGCTGTCATTCTCTTAAATGGTTTTACATTGTTTTGATATACTTAATGCTACAGTATATGAAGTTGTACTCAAGGACTTCAGGGAGGGAGTCAATATGGTAACTATTTTTAAGTCGGAAATATCTGGTGGTGAAACACTATTCTGCTTAAGAGGTTATGTTTTGATCTGCCCTGTTTCGCTGTTATGCCCTCTTTTTCTTTTTCTCAATCTCCACTCCATTATATACTTTTTTATTGTTATCCATTTAATTAAAGGGAAAAATATAGCAGGATATAATATAGTAACCCACTTTGACTTTCTATTTTCTCGATTTGAAGCCCTGTATTACTCTCACCATCTTGTTTTTGACTGAGGTTCCTCTATTCTGTTTTGCTGAATAGTATCAGGTTCGAAAGTTTAGGCATCAGCTGAGAAGATAATGAGATTCATTATAACGCCCATTCTCGTTGACTTCTATCTACTTTTGAAGACCTACAATATCTCCAATGTTTTGGTTTTGTCGGTTTTATCCTTTATGGTTTTGTTCAATAGTATTACAACTAATGATATAGGCAATTCTATTAGAAATAGCGGGAGGCATTAGGGTAACCATTGTTGATCACCTTGTATTATGTTTTTATATTATCTATTATATCCACCCTTTTGACTTGACCGATTCTGTTCTGTTATGTCACATTTGGTTTTACTCTCTTCCAAAAAAGCAATAAGAACAGTGGGAGCAATGAAACCCAAAATGTGTAATAGTCACTGTACAAAAGAGAGGAAAAGAAAATGCTCTAAACTATATAACTGCATGTATATTTAAATGTATAAGACAGAAAATGATATCACAGAGTTCTAATGGATCATTGAACAGAACTGTTTGCAGTATCATTGCTGGAATGTCCACTCTACAAACTTTAATTCTGTGACTTGAACAATTATTTCTAAGATGGCAATATGTAATCTATTAACTAGTGATTTCCTACTGCGCATTTTTTTCTTCTGTAAATCTGTATAACTTGTACCCTTCACTGTTTTTTTTCTTTTCTTTTCTCCTTAAATAAAAATTAAAAAAAAAAAAAGAAAAATAACAATTTGCAGTAGTGATTCTTTTGTCCTCTGGTACATTTATATTCTTGACCTCAACTTACTTGTTTCCTTAAACTTCAAATGCAGGGATAAAAATAACTGCTACACACTCTGCTAAATCATCTAGCAGTTGCCTCCCAAAGTCAGCTTCAAAGCCATGATTGTTCTATCTCATCTTCTCCTGATGCTGGGACTAAAGAAATTACATTTAGCCTAATCTTTATAGGTAACTCCTTACCAATGCAATTATTTAAATATGAGATGATCAGAAATTGCATACTTTTTTAGTTTTAAATAACAAGGAATATAAAAGTGACAGTTCTACTGTATTCAATACAAGGATGAATGGGTTGAGTTTTCAACTGCCCCAATGATGTTCAGATGGTCACTGCATAAACAAATGTGCTTCCCAAGTGATTCTCATGGATAACTGTTGGTGGCCAAGTGATAAGAGGAAAACTACTGATCTGTAATTGTGGGTATTAAAAAGTTGACACTGGGGAGGAAAGGGAGGAGTACTAAAGCACTAAGCTGCATCTGCAGAACTTGAGGGCATATTTTGAGACAGGGTCACACTAATTGTGTAGGCTGGACTCAACTTTCTGTTCCACTAATTTAAGCCCTCTGAGGTGCTAGGATTACAAGCATGCATCAACAGGACCAGCAAGATTTACTTTCATGGTAAAATGAGAAAGTGCTCAGGATATATGTCTTATAGATTCAGTATTCTATTATTAGCTGGAATAGAAATACAAAATCCAAATTTTCCTGTTGATGGTAAGCAGAAATGTGTTGCAGGGAATCTGGCCACATGCTGTAGTGCATAGCGGCAGACAATGCACTTTACAGTGTCTTTTACTTTGTGAAGTATATCAGGTACTTCAGGTACAAAACAGATATAGTTTTACTGGAGATTACACAACAGGTGACTAATTTATGTGTCCAAGCATAATTGAGACTTGGGCAAGCTATTTTCACAGGATTAGGGGTATTTAATGCAGTGCTCACTTGTGTTTTCATGACACCACAGTTTTTAACAACATAATTCCATTGGAACCTAAGTAGATTTTGTATTCAAAAACATTGCAATAAACACTTTACAAATTACCTGAATGTTAAAATGGAAGTGAAAACCACAGGCCACAGGAAACCAACTGGGACTCATGGCCCAGTGTATGTGATTAAAGATAATTAGCACACACTACAAACATCAGACAGTGATCTTTATGAATAAAGAGACATGCCATAGTATAAATTCAAAATGCAGTAAAACACAACACCATCTGAATCTTGATTTAGCAAATTTGCTTTTTACTGTGCTGACAGCTCAAAATTTAGGTTTCCCTTCATGGCATTATTTTAGTGTTTTAGGAAAAAGCAGTAATAATTACAAAATATATAAAGTGTTCACAGCATCAAGGAATAAAATAAAGGCATTTTGCATGATACATTCAATAACAACATTTTTCCAAAAACAAATCCACATTTAAGAAAAATTCCTTTCAAAGTATGGTTACTCATAAATCATACCACATTTTATAATTTCAGGAGATATTAATATATTTTGTGATATTTGTATGGAGACAAGTTATGGTTCTGTCAGTATGGGGCAAGCAGAAATTCACAGTGGCATGGTTTACTTTTGGTACATGTGGGGAAAATTAATAGCGAAGTAAAGATGTAATATAAATATAACAGTTAAATTCTGATGGTTAGGAAAACAAGGGTTTACTTAAATAACAAATATTGCCTCCAGTGAGAAAGAAAATCAGGCAACACAATGTACATGGTATGATATCAAGTGATGTTAAGAAATCAACAGGTATCTCATCACAACATGGAAAACTTAACTTCATTAATGTACAAGTTATGTGAAAAGAACACAACTTTGTCAAAAACACATGCTCCAAGCCTCTATAAATGTATATCTTAATGCCAAATATTGCATCAACTTCAGAAACATCATTTATGACACAGAAAATGAAGCATGTGTATTAAAAGATTAAAGCAAATGCAGTGTTAAAATAACAATTCACTACAAAATAGGCTAGACTAACAAAAATCTGAACAGTGAATAATAGTATTGCTTGATTTTATATCATAATGATACAGAATTAGCATTGGGTTTCTTAGTGTCTCTTCTTCAGTGTATCCATTCATTACATTATGTATTATATAATTTATTCCTAAAATAGTTTAGAAATTCTTCCCATGTGTGAATCTCTACATGTATACCTATCCATTTTTATTATTGGGAAAAACAGATCAAAACAAGACAACAAAACAAATTCCTAGGAAAACATGATATGAAAAAGACACATAAGACCACAATATTAGGTGATGTACAGTAGTTACTATGCTTTCTCTTGTTATTTTCAATAGAATTTTCCACATCATCAGGCATTATATCATTAAGCATACCAATACATAGCTATTTTTATAAAAATACAACTTTAAAGACATTGTAGGACTTGAAAGCAATTAATAATCAAAACTGGAATGCACATCTTTTACATCTTGTCATCTTCAGAGTAGTTGCCTCTACTCTTAGACTTGATACAGCAAGCATACCAAATGTTAATAAAATCAGTCAAGGCAAAATAGCATTCAAACAAAACAGCTTCAAATAAGACCAGTCATAGTAAGACAAAGTAAATAACACAGGGTTTCAGTTTAAGTTAATAGAAAATTAAGGATAGTTACCATGGTATAACCTGCTATTTTTGGGTTATCTGTCTGTGCCCTCAAATGTAATATGAATAGACAGACTGGAACAAAATATAAACAGAGCAATAAGACTACTATAGCTTTTAAATTCTGATACACATTTAACAATGTCCTCTGCCTTTTTTTAGGCAATTCCTCACCTTTACCCTTCTCAGGATACTACTATTCACTGTTCAGAGTCATATTAGTCTAGTCTCTTATGTTCAATTTGAGCATATGTAAAGATAAAGACAGCTACTACAAAGAGAATGAGAGATATTATGGTAGTCATTATCAACTTCCCCAAAATAAGGTTTTGAAGACCCAAAAAGCCTTCATCATCCTGCAATTATTTAATTAGTTCTATAATGTCCAGTATATATTCAATGCATGTGAAGATGGGAACAACAATTTGGAAGAAAACTAGACAGTAAGATAGACAGTGAACATATCGAATGGACTTGCTTTGAAATCTGTGTTTCCTCATCTTGTTTTCTTATGAAATGTTCTGTTCTGTTTTCTCATGTTTAATCTTACCCACTTTAAGATAAAAAATAAATGTGTAGGACAGCATATTACTAAGTTTTTGTTGGATCATTGAGCAGAAATTTTCACAGTGTCATTATTTGAATGTCACTTTGTATGCTTTAATTTTGTAACTTGAACAACTATTTCTAAGATGACAATGTGTAACTTATCAACTAGTGATTTCTTATTGTTTATTTTTCTGAAATTCTGTATCATTTCTACCCTATTTTTCTGTTTTTTCTCTTTAATTAAAAAACACTACAATTCATCAAAAATATGAAGATTAAGTATTAAAGACAAAACATTAAGTACATAGACACTATCCATACTTGAAATTGAAAAGCACATTTCAGTTTACCATGTTTAATTACAAGATGCCATGTTGAAGCACAAAGACACTTTAAAAAATCTAGAAAGGTACAAGTGATTAACTGAAAACCATGTAACATCTGTACTTGAGGAGAGCTCCACCTCAGATTTGTCATTTCTGGAAAATTTGTGAAGAAATATTGACATCAAACTTCTGTATTGATTATTTCTTCAGGTTTCCTTGTGATTTTAAAAGTAAACTTAGATCTAAACAGTCTGACAGTGATGCTTTTTTATGTATTTAACAACAAATATGGATTGCTCTATTTCTTACATTGCTAATCCACATAGGATTTCTGCCCAGGAAGCTCTTTTAGATATGTAACAACCATCAGGTGTGCTGAAGTATTCCCATAACACATAGGATTTATCTCCAGTGTGAGTTTCTTCATGTATTTCACTTTCAGTCTGGCTGCTGAAACTGTCTCCACTTGCTTACATAGCCAGTGGTTCATTGCAGTGTGAATTCTTTCATGTGTTTTGCAATGACTCTATGTGGTAAAAGATATGCCACATTGTTATGTACATAGGGTTTTTCACCTGTGTGAAGTCATTGATGTATTTTACAATATCCATGTGTGGTGAAAGCTTTCCCACATTCTTTACATACATAAGTTTAATCAACAGTGTGGATATTTTTTCATGTGTTGAACAATGAGCGTTTCACCTGAAACCTTTCCCACATTCCTTACATATCTAACTTTTCTGCACAATGTGAAGATTTCATGCATTATGCAAAATGTTCATGTGCTCAACCATTGTCATGATGCTTATATACACTGGGTTTATCTTGAGTGTGAACTTTCATGTTGCTTACAATGTCCATGTCCAGTAAAGGCTTTCCCGCATTGCTTACATACATAGGGTTTCTCGCCAGTGTGAACTTTTTCATGTATTTGACAATGAATGTTTTTGCTGAAAGCTTTCCTACATCTCTTATGTATATACAATTTCTGTCCATTGTGAAGTTTGTCATGGATTACACAATAAGTACGTGTGCTGAAAGCTTTCTCACAGTGCTTACATTTATAACGTTTTCCTCCAGAGTGAAGACTTTCATGTACAGGACAATATGTACCTGCTGTAAAAGCTTTCCCACATTGCTTACATATGTAGGGTTTCTCTCCTCTGTGAATTCTTTTATGTTTCTTAAAAATTCCATGTGTGGTAAAACCCTTCTCGCATTGCTTACATACATAGGGTTTCCCTCCACTGCAATATTTTTCATGGAACTGAACATTGTGGTGTGTTTCTGTTTCTTTCACACCCACATTACCTTCTGCAGTACAAAGGATTACTTCTTTACACTGATTCCAAGATGTATGTCCATAGGTTTTACCTAGCTTGTCATTTCTGTAAAGAAAAAAAATCACGGATAGGATTGATGACCATATTAGTAAGTTTTGGTTGGAGAATTGAACAAAACTGTTTGCAGTCTCGCTGTTTGAATCCCCATTTCATATGCTTCACTTTTGTATCTTGATTAACTATTTCAATGAGCACCATATGTAATAATCACTTAGGGATTTCTTACTGTTTATTTTCACTTTGAAAGTAGTATTATTTCTACCCATTTTCTGTTTTGTTTAGTCTTTCTTTAAATAAAATTTATAAAAAGAAAAAAAATCACAGTGAAATGGGTCTCTGTGTTAATGACTGCATTAATGACAAGTTCTATTTGATGCCTGCCAAGAAATTCTGACAGTGAAGCAACAGAATGCCTTGTAAGATATGTTGAAAACAACCACTCCAAAAAGACTGGTACACATTTGGGAATATAAAAAGTTGGTACATTTTGAAATGCAGAATATTTAGCTTCAATCTGGGCATGGGTACATATGTGTATCACATACTGATCATTCTAATATATTTCCCTATCATAGTCTCCCTTCTGTCCTCAACCTGTAGTTCCCTTCTCCAAATTGTCAGTCTTACCTGTCTCTATCAACTCTCTTTCATTTCATTCCACAATTTATATTTTGGTTTCTCATCTAAAAGAAACCCTGTGACCTTTTACACTTCACAGCTGAGCTATTTCACTGAATTGATGGGAGAAAGACCCACCTATTTCTTATGGCAAATGACATTATATTATTATATTTTTTCACTTATTATATAACACATTTTTTTCTTTTCCATGCTTGGAATGAACAACAGATATTAGCACAAAATCTCTAGCTTTTTATTTATTTTAAGAGATTTTCCTGATCATTAAGCTGTGAAGTTTGAACTTGAATTTGCCATTCTGAAAATTTGTTTCCTAGGGTGCTACTGGGTTTATAAGAATGCACTATCACAGAGAGTCTATTAACATTTTACTTCTCAACAAATCCAGTGAGAGATAGCTAAGCTTCTTCAAGGCCTCATCTGTTATAACTTAATCTGCTTTATATATGAGTAAGCATGTATCTGTATTTTATGTGGATTTTGTTTTTGAAAATGTTTCAAAGAGAATTATGAGGGGATCAACTTCTAGAGACAACTGCATACTGATATTCAGAATGAGTACACTTAACATTCCCCCAGCTTATGAAGAATTTTACTCAGAATGGACTGATTTTCTAGAGCATGGCTTAGAAACATGAGCACTCAGTTCTACTACAATCTTAGCAATTTTTAGATCATGAATGTGTTGTATCCACATGTATACATGGATAGGTAAACTGAAGGTAGGATGTTATCAAAACTAAAAGCGTATGACTTTTGTACACATCTAAATACAGTGTCATATATTTTGATGATTTATTTCCCTCATTATACATGCTTGAGCTTATACATCTTTGGAGAATATTACCAACATTAAATTGAATGGTGCCTCATTTCTTTGGCTGTCATTTTTCTGCTGACTCACTAATTACTCAGGAACATCCCTTCTCCTTGTGAGTACAAATTACCTTAAGTATCTCCAGTAAATTTTGCATCCAATTTCAGTTTCCTGGTTATCCCCAAGTCTTCCTGAATGGTAGACATAGAAATACCAGGGCTCATTATAGTAATATATACAAATTAATAGATTTTGATTAGATTTATGATATAATGTGACAAGGTCTGAGCTATTTTTCAAAATATTTTCACATTCTTTTTAATGAAGCAGCACTGATGAGCAACAAACAATATTCTGATAGCATGAGTGACAAAGAGATGTCATCCTTACCTATAGAAGCCATGTTCCTGTTTTGCCCATCACATCTCTGTAGAGCTTCTTTTGGAATGGACTCAGCAAAGTCCACTCTTCACTGCTGAAGTACACAGCCACATCCTCAAGGTCACCTCCTAAAGTATCATACATATATTTCTCAAAGGAAGGTTGAGACACCAGATCTGAGATATCTTAAATTTTCTCATAAAAATCTGAATCAAAAACAAAGTGTGGTGGTACATATCTATAATCCCAGCACTCAAAATACTGAGACAGGAGGGCTGCTGTGACGTCAGGGCAATTCTAACTCCTTAGGGGGTTCTAATCCAGCTGATATACATACAGAAATTAATCCAAACAAACAAAACCAAACAAAACAGCTGAATGGAGACTGAATTCTTCAAATTTAAATCCATGTCTTGGTCATTAGTTTTGTGTATATACACATTGTTGGAGACAGCAATTTTGATGCTATATTGCAACTCACTGCTAATGTAACAGACAAACAGGAGCACTGATTCTTGTACTGAGTCACTGCAAGAGTCCATGTGCACTGTCTCTAAAGCAGCACTCACAGTGGGAGCCTGCAGGACCAGCATCCACACAGCACAGAGGCAGACAAATATCTCATCAATCACTCTGATAGACTACAGATGATATCTCTTCAAATCTCCTTTAGGCCACTGAGTTCTTTGTTCTTAATATACGTAAGCAGCATTTTGATATTTGAATTTGGTCTCATGGAACAAAACATAAATAACATCAAATATGGTACATAAATAATGACTCAAATATTAATGAAAAACAGTTTTATGTAAAAATGTATAAACAATGAAACCAGGCCCAAGCTGCAAATTATAGCTCAGGGTCACGAACTGATCACTTTCCATTCAGATATAAGAAATATATCTTGGGAGGCCGATGCAGGAGAACTGCCTCGAGTTTGGGGCTAGCTTAAGTTACAGAGCTTTCTGAATACTGAAACCGTGACTGAGACACCCCTCAGACAAAGTGAAACTTGAAAAGTGACTGCATAAGACACCTTTGGTTTGTTTTAAAAAATTATAAGCATACAATATAGAAAAATTCCAACAATATTTGACACTTTCTAAGGAACAATGTTACTGTCTTGCATAGTATACAGAAAACACTTTCAGTGCTGGATATTTAGCTCAGTGGCATGAATGCCTGCCTGGCAAGCATGAGGTCATGAGTTTGATCCCTGGTACAAATAAAATTCCAATTTCACCTTAATGACACTGGGACATAATTAGAGATCATCAAAATTAGTATAGAACCCAGAATTCATGGTTGGACAGGGATGAGGAATACAGATTGTTGCCAGAGCTAGCATTATTCATGTCATGGAACTAATCAGAACACAATTTGTGAAGAAATATTGACATCAAACTTCTGTATTGATTATTTCTTCAGGTCTCCTTGGGATATTTAAAGTAAACTTAGATCTAAACTGTCTGAATAGTTATGCTTTTTCTATGTATTTAACAACAGACATGGATTGCTGTATTTCTCACATTGTTAATCCACATAGGATCTCTGCCCAGTGAGCTCTTTCAGATATGTAACCATCATCATGTGTGCTGAGAGTATTCCTGTAACACATAGGATTTATCTCCAGTATGAGTTTCTTTATGTATTTCACTTTCACTCTGGCTGCTGAAAGTGTCTTCACTTGCTTATATAGCAGTGGTTCTTCCCAGTGTGAATTATTTCATGTATTTTGCAATGACTGTATATGGTAAAAGCTTTGCCACATTGTTATATACATACAGTTCGCACCAGTGTGAAGTCATTGACGTATTTTACAATCTCCATGTGTGGTTAAAGCTTTCCCACATTGTTCACGTACACAGGGTTTCTCTCCAGTGTGAATTCTTTCATGTCTCTTACAATCTCTCTGTGTGGTAAAAGCTTTCCCACATTGCTTACATACATAGGGTTTCTCTCCAGTGTGAATAATTTCATGTTGCTTACAACCTCCATATGTGGTAAAAGCTTTCCCACATTGCTTACATACATAGGGCTTCTCTCCAGTGTGAATTCTTTCATGACTCTTACACTCTCCACGTGTGGTAAAAGCTTTCCCACATTGCTTACATATATAGGGTTTCTCTCCAGTGTGAATTCTTTCATGTTGCTTACAATTTCCAGGTTGGGTGAAACCTTTTCCACATTGCTTACATACATATGGTTTCTCTCCAGTGTGAATTCTTTCATGTTGTTTACACACTCCACGTGTGTAAAAAGCTTTCCCACATTGCTTACATACATAGGGTTTCTCTCCAGTGTGAAGTCTTTCATGTTCCTTACAATATGCACGTGTGTTAAAAGCTTTCCCACATTGCTTACATAAATAGGGTTTCTCTCCAGTGTGAATTCTTTCATGTTGCTTACAATTACCAGGGTGGGTGAAACATTTCCCACATTGTTTACATACATAGGGTTTCTCTCCAGTGTGAATTCTTTCATGTTGTTTACACTCTCCTCGTGTGGTAAAAGATTTACCACATTGCTTACATACAGAGGGTTTCTCTCCAGTGTGAATTCTTTCATGTTGTTTACAATTTCCAGGATGGGTGAAATCTTTTCCACAGTGCTTACATACATAGGGTTTCTCACCTTTGTGAATATTTTCATGTATTTGACAATACATGTTAGTGCTAAAAGCTTTCCCACATTGCTTACAAACATAGGGTTTTTCTCCAGTGTGAATTCTTTCATGTTGCTTACAAGCTCCGTGTGTGATAAAAGCTTTCCCACATTGCTTACATACATAGGGTTTCTCACCTTTGTGACTATTTTCATGTATTTGACAATAAATGTTAGTGCTAAAAGCTTTCCCACATTGCTTACATATGTAGGGTTTCTCTCCTCTGTGAATTCTTTCATGATTCTTACAAATTCCACGTGTGGTAAAACCTTTCCCGCATTGCTTGTATACATAGGGTTTCCCTCCACTGCAATATTTTTCATTGATCTGAAAAATGTGTTGTGTTTTTGTTTCTTTCACATTCACATTATCTTCTTCAGTACAAAGGAATACTTCTTTACACTGATTCCAAGATGTGTGTCCGTAGGATTTTCCCAGCTTGTCATTTCTGTAAAGAAAAAAATCACATATAGGATTCATAACGATATTACTAAGTTTTTGTTGGAGAGTTGAACAAAACTGTTTGCAGTCTCACTGTTTGAATCCCCACTTCATAAGTTTTACTTGTATATCTTGATTAACTATTTCTATGAGCACCATATGTACTCACTGACTTGTGATTTCTTACTGTTTATTTTCACTTTGAAAGAAGTATTATTTCTACTTAATTTGTTTTGTTTAGTCTTTACTTACATTAAATTTTAAAAAAAGAAAAAATTCACAGTGAAATTGCTCTCTGTGGTCATGACTGCACTAAGGTCAAGTTCTTTTTTTAATGCCTGCTAAGATATTCTGACAATGAAGCAACAGAATGCCTTGTATGATTTGTTGAAAACAACCATTCGCAAAAGACTGGTACATATTTGGAAATCTTAAAAGTCAGTATTTTTTGAAATGCAGAATATTAACTTCACTTTGGGTATGGGTACATATGTTTATCACATACAGATCATTCTGATATGTTTCCCCATCACATTCTGCCTTCTGTCCTTAACCTGTACTTCTCTTTTCCAAATGGTCAGTCTTACCTTTCTCTATCAACTCTCTTTCATTTCATTGCACAATTCATATTTTGCTTTCTCATCTAGAAGAAACCCTGTGACCTTTAAGGTTTTATAGCTGAGCTATTTCACTGAATTGAAGGGAAAAAGATACACCTATTTCTTATTGCAAATGACATTATATTATTTATTTATTGACATTATACAACACATTTTTTTCTTTTCCATGCTGAGAATGAACATCAGGTACTAGCATAAAATCTCTATGTTTTTTACTTATTTTAAGAGATTTTCACTGAGCATTAAGCTGTGAAGTTTGAACTTGTATTTGGCATTCTGCAAAATCTGATTCCTAGGGTGCTGGGTTTGCAAGAATGCACAATCACAGAGAGTCTATTAATATTTTCCTTATCCAAAAATTCAGTAATAGGTAGCTAAGCTGCTTCATGGCCTGATCTCTTATAACTTGATCTGCTTTGTATATGAGTAAGCATGTAATCTGTATTTTATGTGGATTTTCAGTATTTAAACATATACCCAATACAAGTATGAGGGGATCAACGTCTAGAGAAAACTGCATACTGATATTCAGAATGAGTGCATTTAAGATTCCACCAGCCTACTAAGAATTTTTATCAAAATGGCTGAATCTCTAGGGCATGGCTTGGAAACAAAAGCAATTGGATTTATTTCAAATTCTATTGCCATCTTAGCAATTTTTAGAAAATGAAGGTGTGGTATTCACATGTAAATATGGGTAGAAAAACTGAAGGCAGAATGCCATAACTCAAAGGGTATGCCTTTCGTAACATCTATATGCAATGTCATACATTTTCATGATTTAATTCCCTCTTTGTACATATCCTAGCTTATACATCTTCGGAGATTATTGCTGACGTTAAATTGAATGGTGACTCAATTCTTTGGCTGTCATTTTTCTGCTGACTCACTAATTACTCACAAACATTCCTTCTCCTTGTGAGTGCAAATTACCTTAAGTATCTCCAGTAAATTTTGCATTCTTTTTCAGCTTCCAGTATATTCCCAAGTCCTCCTGAATGATAGACATAGAAATACCAGGAGTCATTAGAGTAATACATACAAATTAATAGATTGTGATTAGATTTATGACATAATGTGACCAGGTCTGAGCTATTTTTCAAAATATTTTCACATTCTTTTTAATGAAAGAGCAGTAATGAGCAACAAACAATATTCTGATATCATGAGTGATAAAAAGATGTCATACATACCTATCACAGTCATGTTCCTAAAGGTTTCCTCCATCACATCTCTGTAGAGGTTCTTTTGGGTTGGACTCAGCAAAGTCCACTCCTCTTTGCTGAAGTTCACAGCCACATCTTCAAAGGTCACCGCCTCCTAAAGTATCATACATATATTTCTCAAAGGAAGGTTGAGACCCCAGAGCTAGGATATCTTAAATTCTCTCCTACAAATATGAATCAAAAGCAAAGTGTGGTGGTGTATATCTATAATCCCAGCATGCAAAACACTGAGACAGGATGGCTTTGGTGAGGTGAGGGCAATTGTAGGCTCAATAGGGTGTTCAAATCCAGCTGATATACATACAGAAAGCTTGTCTCAATAAAACAAAACTAAACTAAACAAATAAAACCAAACAAAACATCTGAATGGTGACTTATTTCTTCAAATCATAAATCCATGTCTTGTTCATTAATTTTGTGTATATACACATTTTTGGAGACAGCAAATTTGATGCTATATTGCAACTCACTGATAATATAACAGCCAAATAGAAGCACTGATTCTTCTGCTGAGTCACTGCAAGATTCCCTGTGTACTGTCTGTAAAGCAGAGCTCACATTGAGAAGCCTGCAGGACCAGCATCCACAAAGCACAGAGGCAGATAAATATCTCTTGAATTGACTGGGAAGCTAAGCAAGCACGTCCCCTCCCTGGTAAGCAGTGGCAGTTTGGCAGAATGCGGCCCTTCAGGGTGGAGAAGCAGCAGCAGTCCTGAGTTCTGCACCATGTTGGAACTTAGGACACTGGGAAGCCAAGCAAGCACCTCCCCTGCCTGGTAAGTGGTGGTGGTGTGGCAGACTGTGGCCCTTCCAGGGGGAAAACCATCATCAGCTCCTGAGGTCTACACCATACTGTAACTTAGGACACTGAGTAACCAAACAACCAGCCTGGCTTGTTGCTAAGCAATAGTGAACCTACTGATGCACGGCCTAGAATTAAACATCCCACTTCCCCTACTCCTCTTCTCCTGTCCCACTCATTAGCAAATGTGAACCAGAAATCTGAACGACGCCTGGGAAGCTGAGCATAGCAAATGAAGGGGAACTTCCTTCGACCATCTCTTTGAAGGCAAATATTTTTATTATTGTTTTGCTCTATTTTGATTAATGGTACTGCTCTATTCAATATTCTGTTTTGATAAGTTCTATGATGTTCTGTATTTCATCTCATTTTGATATACCTAATTGAAAGCAGAACTATTATAAAGATAACAAAACATACTGTGATACCTATTACTGTTATCCCAGTAACCTGCTGTGAAGTTCGATACCAATTTCACTGGATGATCTTAATTGGCCTTATTCTGTCTTGTGCTATTGTATTTTACCACTTTCAAAATTAAGATGAAAGAAAAAAAATGTCTCATCAATCATTCTGACAGACTACAGATGATTTCTCTTCAAATCTCATTTAGGACACTGAGTCCTTTATTCTTTTTAAATTTTTTTAAATTTTTTTTTAAATTTTTTAAAATTTTTATCGGTACCAGGGATCGAACTCATGACTGCCTGCTTGTAAGGCAGGCACTTATGCCGCTGAGCTAAATCCCCAGCCCCTATTCTTAATATACTTAAGCAGTATTTTGAAATATGAATTTGATTTCATAAAACAAAACATAAGTAACATCAAATATGGTACATACATAATAACTCAAATGTTAGTGGAAAAAAGATGTATTTAAAAAAATGTATATAAAATGAAACCAGGCCCAAGTTGTAAATTATAGCTCAGTGTCATCAAGTGATCACTTTCCATTCAGATATAAGAAATATATCTTGGGAGGCTGGTGAAGGAGTCCTTCCTTGAATTGGGGTTAAGTTACAGAGCTGTCTAAAATAGAGAAACTTTGACTGAGACACCCCACAGACAATGGGAAACTTAAAAAGAGACTGCATAAGACACTTTCGGTTTGTTTTAAAAATTATAGCCATACAATACAGAAAAATTCCAACAATATTCAACACTTTTTTTAACCCTTGTATAAGGCAGGTAATATTCAACACTTTCTGAGGAAAAAGGTGGATATCTTCCATACTATACAGAAAACACATTCATAGCTGGGTATTTAGTTCAGCAGCAGGAATGACTGCCTGGAAAGCATAGGTCATGACTTCGATCTCTGGTACACAAAAAATTCAAATTTCACCTTCATAATACTGGGGCATAATTAGAGATAATCAAAATTAGATCTCAAGTATGGAACACAAAATTCATGAGGTTGACAGGGATGTGGAATACTGATTGTGACCAGAGCTGGTGTTATTCTCCTCAAGGAAGCAATCAGAATCCAACTTTACCTTCATACCTACTCTAAGATCTACCCGACTTTCAGTGAAGACACTCTCTGTTGTATGTCCTGCTATTGGCACCCTGCATCCTGCTAGTCACTTCCACATACTTTCCATGCTCCTCTGATCCACCCTGAGTAGCAAATCCTTCATGCCTAACTATTCATATCCCTGCACAATTTCATTTTAGGGCTTCTCCTTTACACCACTTAGTGAAGTCCATTGCAGAGAATTCCCATATTTAAACTGTCTATGATCAACCAAGCTACTAAATCAACTCTTAATTCAGAGATGACATACCTATTCCTTTCCATTCAGAAGGATATTACGTGTCTATGCCATGCAAATGCCTAAATTTTAGCATTTTTCAATGAGGATGTAACAGGTAGCCCTTTGTGGAATTTGTCCTTCACAAATTTTTACCCTGTCCTTGATAAAACTTTAATACTGGCTTCATTTTTCTCAGACTTCAAAAGTCTATGGCTGTTCTCATAAACCTAGTCTGTGAGCAGGGGTGCCACCTAAATAATTAAGTATGTTCAGAAATTATTTTGCACTGTTCTTTATAATACACAGGAGTTCAGTAGGTGTTTGGAAAGCCTTTCTCCACTGAGTCACATCACTACATGTGTCTGAATTCTCAGGACCTTTGCCACTACCTGTCATGAGGATGGAAATATGAGAACATACTATAAATTTAGGCAATCACTATAAATAAAAAATGCACAAGTTTAAGTTGAGCCATTGTGACATGAGGCCCTGTATTACAGACATTCATAAACTTTGAACATTCTAGATCTGCTACTCAGAGGAAAGAGAGCAGAGACCCAGATCATTACTGCTCTACAAGCTACAAAAAGCATCAGAGTGAGGGTCTTCCCAAGCTCCTTCCAATGTCTAAGATTGTGGAGGCTAGCAGTGAATTTCAAAGATGATACTCGAGTCTGCTGCTGTTATTGTGAAGCCAGGGTTCTGGGGACCAAAATGACCCTTGCCAACAACAAGAGGCAAATGGACAGTGAATGACCCATGGCCAGTGCTGAAGGAACTCAGGAGGTGGGCTAACTAACTACCTGAAGCTCCAGACATGGGAAATACTCTTAAACACTTGTAACTGGTTTCACCCAATCTACCCTATTTCTGGGTTCCCATCGACAACCTCAGCATTCCATGGCTCCAGGGTCTCTCGGGTTTTTTGCTAATCAGGCCATAGGACATCGAAAGTACTAAATGAGATCCAGCAAGCATTTTGCTAATAGTATTGTACTCAGAACAGGTAAATCATGCTGAGACACTAGAAGAGACAGAAGTCACAACAAGCAATGGCCCGCCTGTTTTGACAGTTCATATAACCCGCCTCTTCATCACTGATTGACTCCTGCTCTACTGCGCTCCTTCTGAGTCAAGAATAAACAGGGAAAGGAACCCTTCCCTGCAAGAGAGGATCTCAAATGCAGACTGCAGTGCAGAGACTTCTGGAGCTGCCATTCCTCTACAGTGGTGAACTCAGCTCAACAGAGCAGTGTTTGTACTGAAGAGCTTTACCTCACGCTTTTATTTTCCAAATCCATTATATTTCAAGGAATAAAGAATAAATCAACTAAAATGAAATACAAAAAGGTTAATCAGGGGGCAACACTGGTATATACATTGCATATTGTCATCCCCAGAGCATTCACCCAGAGCAAGCCATCTGTAAACAAATTTCCAAACAATACTGTTACAGGCAGCGGAATTATTTACATACTATTGGCACTGAGACAGGGCTAGGTCCTCCAAGGAGCCCATGCAGGAGCCCAGATACCTTACAACTATGGGGAAGACAGACATCTCATGCTATGGACCAAGGCTCAAGATAAATGATAAGCAAATTGATCCATATCCTAAGGATTGATATTCCAGAGTTCCATAGCACTCTGAGGAAATCAGGAGTCACCATTCAAAGAAATGTATCCTTATCCTAAAGACTGATATTCTAAATACTTCCTATCATCTTGATGAACTCAACAGTCACCCACCCAGCCCCCCAAGGGAAGAGTTACAGCTGCCTAAGGATGCCTACTTTCTATGAGACTCCTTTCCCCATTTGTTCCCAATTTAATCCACTATACCTGAACTTTTAATCTTATTGGCTACCATAGCTTTGTTCCATCTTATGCCCATTTGCATTGTGAGTTCCTAGTTTTCCCCACCTTAAACTCATATCACCACATGATTTTATACTATAAAGTTCCCTAGATAGGACAGTGTTTGGCAATCTGCTCAGGACCCCTTCTCTCTCTCAGGCAGCTTTCTTTCGCTCAATAAGTATATTCTTCTCTTAATCTCTGTTGTTCCTAAAATTCATTCTTTAACTTTAGAGAACACAAACTCATATCAGACATAGTAGACCAGGAGATTCATTCCCCTCTAGCAATATCAGTATAAATTTTTCTCTTTCTTGAAGTCAGAGAAATCAGTAGTAGTTTGTATTCTACAATGTTGATCTCCAGGGATACATGCATTGAAGGCCTTTATCCCTGCCTTTAAGTGCTACTTCTGTTTTCTGAAAGTGAACTGATCTACAATTTTGGTTATGGTATCTAAAATGCATTAATGAAATGACTCAAAATATTTCAAAATATGAATGGTTTACAACCAGCCTTGGAGGAAGACTGATAGCAAAAATTCTTGTTTTAATTTCTTCATTCAAACCAAATGATGGACCTGAAAGAGTTTTGCCTTAGAAACAATTACAGGACCTCATCGTGGTAGTTCAAGTTAGAAGAAGGTGAAATCAAGGGTACTTACCCATATGGCCACTTC